ATTTTTGTACCTATAGCAGTGCCATTAACCTGCAGGTAATGTTCTCCATTAAACATGAAGATGTTGAACTTGTGAACTTGAGATCATGTTGAAGGAGCTTGGAAAGGGCCTCCGTAGTAGGAATTTGTATGGATCTACTCTCCCAGACTTCTCTACAGGCTTTGATACCCTCATCGTGCGCAATAATGGTGTACAAAGCATCGTGCGCAATAATGGTGTACAAAGATGTGACGTCCATAGTCACGAGGAGGGTATGATCTGGGAGGCCAGTAGAGGTCGTCTTGTTAATGTAGTCAGTGGTGGTCTCATAGACGTTGATCCCAATCTCATTTTTCTCAAACATATCGTCAAGATTTTGGTAATGGCGGTAGAGAATTCTTTAGTAGTGTCAGAGTACAGTTTCGTCTAGAAACGTTCGTCTCCCCACCAAACCCACAGACTCCCTCCTATATCTTATGCCCACTAGCTGTCATTCCCCACACACTTTTAAGGGAGTGCCTAAGAGTCTAGCCACCAGAATTCGACGCATCTGTTCGTCCCCTGCCTTATATCAGGAGCAAAGTGGTCTTCTTAAGTCCCACTTATGCAACAGAGGCTACAATGCCCGAACCGTACAAACAGGTTTTGATGAGATGGCGGAACATGACAGGCAAAACCTATTACGCTACAAGGAGAAAGACAATAGCGACAGGGTCCCTCTGGTAACAACATACCATCCCGTCCTAAAGAACCTTAGTGGTATCCTTCAAAAGAACCTACCAATTCTCCATTCAAACAAAGGAATGGCAAAAATCTTTAAGGAACCCCCATTGGCTGCATACAGACACCCAAGGAACCTAAAGAATATGGTAGTAAGAGCCATACTGGACAACCCATTACCTAACAGGGGCTTCAAAACTTGCTCTGACAGAAGATGTCTTTTCTGTAAGCACAGCACTGACGCAGACAATTTTAACAGCTCTGTTACAGGCCGCAACTACAAAATACTAGGGAGTTTGTCCTGTCATACTGACAACTGCATTTATCTCATCAGTTGCAAAGTTTGCTCCAAACAGTATATTGGTGAAACAGGAGATCTCCGCAGGAGAGTCAATAACCACCGTTCGACCATTAGGACCCCAAAACTGTTGGGGAACATTTCAACCTTAAGGGTCACAAATGGCAGGACTTGACAGTAGTGGTGATTGACCATAACCCAAGATGGACAGACGCTTAGAGAAAAAGCAAAGATAAGTTCCGGATGCACTGATTGAAATCATTCCGCCCTAATGATATTTACAAACTGATTGACTTCACCAGAATGAACGTAAACTAGATCCAATTCCTGATGATACTAAACAAGATTATTCTCTCAATTTAGTGTACACTCTACAGTTAATTTGCGTCACCAACTCTCGAACAACCCATATAACTATACTTGTCAAAATTTCTAAGTCCCCACTTTTGTCTTTTCAAAACCTTAAATCAATGTACTAGTTGCTTACAATTTTGCTTTTAATTTGCAATGCTTACCTGTCAAGACCAAAACAATTGTAATTACTCGACTGTGACTGTTTTTGTTAAAAAGAAATAAATTCAATTTCCATGTGTTTTTCGGGTGTATTCCTCATATTTTTTACTTCCACGTATTCTCCATGCTTAATTGATAAAGAAAAACAGAATTTTTTTTTATTAAAATGCGATGTATGCCCACATAACAATGTGAAAGTGAAGTTGAAATGGCCCCATGCTAGTCGTACAAATGTAATGAAAAAATTTCTTTTTCCTTTCACTATGTGACTTTATTTTACTCAAAACCTTTTCATTACCGCCCGAAAAACCTACAAAGTATACCTTGATTCGTTTTAATCATTAGAAATCGCTAGATTTTCAACAAACATAACAAAATCATCCTAAAGTTTAACTGAAAATATCAATGGAACTGGAAGCGGAAGTGCCTTCTCCTCGATGTCAAACTGGAGGAGTGGGGAATACATGTAATGAGACATTGTGTAACTATTGTCAGCAATGCACAAGCACTTTCTGTAAGCCCCCTTTTTCATCCTAATCTCAACCCTAACTTACATGTATGGAAGAAGATAGACCGGTGTTTGAGACGGCAATTTCAGCAGGAGAATCTAGAGGACTACCTAGTCTCCACATGGAAAACATTTAATAAAAGAATTCTTTTTTAATAGTGTGAACTCTTTGAGGAACTGTTTTCTTGCTGTGAATTTCACCGCAACATGTATTGGTAACGATCCTCTAAAAAACTAATGTCCAAATAACTGTATCTCACTTCCATTCTCAATGACCGTGTAGTATAGGGCAGCGTTGTGAGAATTCCATCGGCTTTGCAAGTTTCTTTTATAATTATTTTTTTCACCTGTGTGACATCAACTTTAAACAACGTTTCATATTAAATATATATATGTATTTAATGATTCACTTTATGTAAGTAAATATATTATATATCTTGTAATTTATAAAAGGAAAGAAAATTCTGATCAACACTCGTTTAAATATTTAGAAAACCATTATTTCTGACTAACTTCACCCACCTCAATCCCCATACATTAAAACCTTGAACTTATATGTATAGAGCAGCCTGGTCCTTTGGGCTGAAATAAAATAACAATGAATAGAATCTATTTAGCAATATTATGCAATTTCAGTGAAAGTGGGGAAGGAGGAACAAAATAGAATGACTAGAGACTTTTTAACAGTATTACGCAATCCCCCGGTAATATAAGTTTTAGGAAGCATATTATAAAAAGAGATAGATAAAGTGCACATTTTGTGTGCAGAAGGAAAAAGTTATGTGTATAGTAGCTGTTTTTCCAAATTCTACTCCTATTCGAAATACAAACTTTTATTGTCAGTCTCTTGAATCAATATACAACAGTCACATACAATCGAAAATATTTAATTCTGAAATTGTAGTTAGATTCCCAAACAAAAATTTCTGTTGGAAAACAACTTGTGTTTTCGAAAAACTGATTCTCTGCGTATGGTAGTTTTTGCAAAAGTTGAAGTTTACCAAATGCATGTAAAGCAAGTAAAGCAAGGCAAACTCCAAAGGGTAGGTCTTAACAACCTAAGGAATAAATATTTAAGATATAAAAGCTCCACTAGTTACTGTCCAAATGCTATGGCAAAGGTTTTGTTTGAAAAGTAAGTCAAACTCTTAGTTTAAGGACAAAAAGTAAAAACTATTTCCACCCATTTATAGGTTTTGAAAGAATGAAGAATTCATAGCCTTGGTTAAAGTTTCGTAATTTTCATAATTGGGTCAAACTACAAGGTCAAGGCCAAAAAGGCAAATTTGGTGGTATCCCGAGAAAGGACTTGTTATAAGGAATACACCTGTGAAGTATAAAAGCCTAGCCCCACTCACTTAAAGGTGACTCTAAAGTTAGAGTTTAAACTTTGAAAAATTATAACAGTTGAACATTTTAAAATATTTTACATGTTCATTTCTTGTGACAATAATGACAATATCTTTCTTTGAAAGTTTTAATATCAACCATTTTGACCTTGACCTGCGAGTTTAACTTTGAATTGAGATACTTCAACCCTCGCCATCAACTGTCATGCGATGGCAATATTATTTTACTAACACAACATTTTTTTTAACAGTTGATTCTAGTGTTTTAAATTTTTAAAAGTTCTTTCTTTGTGAAAAGACCTATTGATGAGTATGAATATTTTGACCTTTTGATCATGATCCACTTAAAAAAATCTTGAGCCTTGGCCATAAGGTTTTGGAAAGAATTAACTGTAGGACTTTTATATTTCAAAGGTGTACTCCTTGTGACAATACCTCTTCTTATTCATGTGTTCCGTACTATGTTTTAATTTAAAATTGTGTGTTAATATATATGATTGTATGTACAAAACACATAATTAAAATACATGTATTATAACATATTATACCATGATTATCGGAGACTTCAAGGAAATGCAAAATTTTAAAGGTACTTAGATACAAATTGAAGTTATTATTTTCTCTATAATATTAGGACTTATATATTTTAATAGCATTGTACACAAAAATTAATTAAAAATCTTATTTCATATAAAAGATATTAGAATTTTAAATTTTTTGGCGGATTTGATTGACACATCCTTGCTCTTTCAAAAATTAATCCTTTTCTGAATCCTTAGGAAAAGTGGCAATCTCGTTGTGTATAAATGAAAAATATTTATACTATAATCCAGAAAATTCAGAGTAGATATATTCGAAAGCAAAACAAACACACAATATATTGTCAGTCCGTGCAGTTGTGGTAAGCAGACTGTGACGATTGAACGCTCACGGTGAATTGTAAACATCAATTACATGTATAACAGAACTCGTGCCCTGTTTACCAAAAACTGTGTACATAACACGAGAATGCTCGATTTGCTAAACTCTGTACGCAACTCTTAGTTCGGATTGTCGATACTTTTGAAGGAGTTTTGCTTTCTAACATTTCTACTCTGAATAAAATTATTTTTCTGGATAAATTTTTTTTATATTTCTCATTAATACACAACAAGATTGCAACTTTTTCTAAGGATTAAGAATAAGGTTAAAATTTGTGAAAGTGCAAGGATGTGTCAATCAAACACGCAAAAAATTTGAAGTTTTAATAACTTCTGAATGAAATAAGACTTTTGATTAATTTTTGTGTGAAATTCTATTAAAATATGTGAGTCGTAATATTATAGAGAAAATATTGACTTCAAATCTGTGTCCAAGTACCTTTAAGTTCTTAATGCTACTATTCACTTCCTTTAATATAAGTACAAACCAGTGGAGCTACAGTCTGGACAGAGACTTCTGGTTTTCTTTTTTTATTGATCGTGCTATCAAGATTATTCCTTAGTCACATGGATATGTCATATTCTGGTTTAATCAGGGTGATTCAAGAATCATCTTCACAATATACATGTATTGCGGTATAGAAAAAATGTATTGATGGCATAATTGTGTTCTCCAGGATTTTAATTTTTCACTGTAAATTTTTAAATCTATCTCAAAAAAGTAAGAATCCCGAGAAGCTGTTTATAGTGAACTGAATAGGAACGGATTGGCCAGTAGTGTCCCAATGTGATTTAATGCATACTCGATCATTTTTCTCCAAAGCGAGAATCACCATATTGCCTCCGGCGTCATACCTCCCTGCGGGATTTCCCGCGAGTGCTTCAGCTACAGGTATATAATTAAGATATAAAAAAACACGCAGGTATTTATACGATGGTGTTTCGACAGAGAAGTAAAAAGCATAATTTCCAGCCATTGGTGCCGTGAATATTCCTGTTTCAGAATCATATCCTCCTCCTACGTTATTTAATACCGACTTAAAGATAATTATTTCCCCTCCTGTTGTGATTGTTTGACGAACAGTCCTGTCTGCAGTTGCTGAAAAGGCCACCATTTTCCCATTCACTAAAAAATGATAAATATTTCATAGCTTATATTTTTTTTTAACTTGAGGCCATCTTAAAAAAAATGTTTGGTTGTTCTTTCCCAACCGTTTGACTAAAAAATGTTGGACTCAAATCTTTTTGTACACTCTTAGATCACGAGTTTTCTTCTCTCTATTCCTTTTTTCCTGTCAATGAATATGTTGAAATTTTATTGAAAAAAATTTTTCGCACCTACCTACACACCCAATAATTTTATCCTGAAACGATGGAGGGCAAACAAACATTAATTTAAAGATGGCCTAACAATTCAATTACTGTCTTTTTTATTTTCAGTCTGAAATTCAGATTGATTACAAATATTTAGATCAATTGTATACAGTTAGTTTACTTACTCTGATTTACTTGACACATTTCTTCTCCCATTTTCATAATTCGCTTTTGTAATAGAAATATTTCTTCTTCCATTTTCATGACTCTCTTTTGTAAGTCGTAGTATTCTTTATGTGCATCATACAACAACTGACTTTTTGTTTTTTGTATGACAGATATCTGTATCCAGACAATAACAAATATTGAGCTTATCCAATGCATGACTTTAAAAAAAAACAATCAGTTGATGATGGCAATGGAAATTTTATAGGACTCGCAAAAAATATCTCTCGACACTTTTCGGGAGCAATGACTTCACACTAAATGAAACATTCCTGAAATATTCATCTGATTAACATTTTCTGAACAAGGAAGACTATAACATTTCCCCTTAACAATGTCATAATTCAGACACGAAATTCTATCGAGAAAAAAAATCATCTGACTTTCTAAGAAACTTGCTTGTAGGTTTTGCAAGAATAACACGTAGTTGTTATATTTGTTGGTACTGTAAATCAATCCCCCCAGTCTACTTTTCCCTACTGAATTTTAATAGTTTTTTATTTAACTACCGGTAGATAACCTCTATACTAATGAAAGCATTTTAGACCCTTATATTCTTATAAATTGAAAAGACCCTCATCAAGGCTCAGTCATGCACACCTTAATTGATGGCGACTAGCAGACGTCAAGCGTATTGCGGAAATTTGATCCCCGTTTTACTCAATGGGATTTTTGATTGGCGAATACAGGTTCAGGGGTATATATAGTTCTTGTCTTGTCCGTCCGTATTAGTTTTTTAGGAACGACTTTACTTAGCGGTCCCCGGAAAAACGCGCTAAAATGTAGTGTTGCCGAAGGCGACCTCTCTGTATATGAGATCGCGTGAGCGATCGAAAAAAAAAATTACGAGGTTTTTTGGCCTTTTAACCCCAAAATCTTCAAAATCTTTCAAAATCTTCGTTTTTAAACGTAGCTTTTAACCTCGTTCTCTGACAAAAATTAAAAAATATTGTTTATTCATGGAAAAAATCGCAAAGTACAATTCTAAACGAAGTGCGCGCGGTGCATGCTTGGTGTAATTTCTTTCGGACTTAGCCATTCTTCCATGTAAACAAACGAACGAAATGTCTTTAAAGGTGAAATAAATGATCTTGGAAAAATCCAGAAACACCTGAATTTCTTAACTTATGAAAAGAAGGAGTTACTTTCTTATACATCGGATGGTATGCAGGGACTAAGACGTTTAGACGAAATCTCCCGGGCAGATGCTAAACTAACCCTTATCAGTCGAAAAATGTGCGAAGACTAACCCTAATCTCTCGGATAGATACGAGACTAACCCTAATCAGTCGAATACTAGTGCAAGGACTAACCCTAACCTCAGGTGGGTGCTAAACTAACCCTAATCAGTCGAATAGTGTGCAAATTTAATCCATTTTAGATGAGTGACCTAAGTATTACATCATAGTCCAATGAGCGCGAGGATCTTGCTGATCTGGGGACCGGTAAAGTAAAGTCTAAAAAAATCTACCCGTTTTTTATGTTTATGTGTTCGTTCGCAAACGATTTCTTGCCAGTATTTTTGGACTTAGCAGTGTTGCGGCTTTTATATTTCACAGGTCCATTTCTTGCAAAATAACCTACTTCTTCATATCACAACTTTGACCATGACCTCGGAGTTTGAATGGCATTTGAGAAACTTCAACCTTTACAATAGACTGTCATACGGGAATATCCATGTTTCACACAAAAAAAAAAATGTTTTTGCTGTGTCTATGCAATACGTAGATGTCCACAATTAAGGAATGTTTTTAATTTTTGTGTGAGTTATTGGTGTGTAAATCACATAGACTTGTCACAAAGGCATATTTCATGAAGCACGCTAGCGCTTCATGAAAAATATGCCTACGTGACAAGTCTATGTGATTCACACACCAATAATTCACACTAAACTTAAAAACATTCCTTTTATTTACAATTTACATGTTTTGAAGCACCAAAAATATACTCAAAATTTGAATTTCTCGATGCCCTATATCATTGTACTTTTACTAACGTCGCTGTAGCTTTATTGTGACGTGACTGTTGCCTCATTGTGACATCACGTTAGCGAACGTGTCTCTGTGTATATTTTTACGCGTAAGTATACATGAAAATGGTTTTCAAACCAATTTCCGGGAACTAAAAACTCTACTGGCCAATCCGTTCCTATTCAGTTCACTGTAAACAGCTTCTCTGGATTCTTGCTTATTTGAGATAAACCGTTCACGGTAGCCTAGTGGTAGAGCGTTCGCTTCGTGATCGGGAGGCCCGGGTTCGATTCTCGTTCGCGGCGCCGCGTCAAACCTAAGACAAAAAAATTGGTAGCGACTTCGCCAAGCGCTCGGCACCAGAAGTGAAAGTCACGGGTCTTTCGGATATGACCTTAAAAACGTAGGTCCCGTGTCACGGTAGGCGCTGGCACGATAAAGAACCCTCACTGCTCAATGGCCCTGAGTGCCGAGTATAAGTCTAAATTTGAAGCCCTTCACCGCATAAGGTGACGTCTCCATATCAGTGAAAAATTCTCAAGAGGGACGTTAAACAATATACAATCAATCAATCAATCTTATTTGAGATACATTAAAAAATTTACATTGAAAAATTAAAATCCTGGAGAACACAGTTATGCCATCAAAACCGCAATACATTTATATTGTATATATATATATATATATATATATATATATATATATATATATATATATATATATATATATATATATATATATATATATATATATATATATATATATATATATATATATATATATAAAGGTATTAAACTAAATGCAACTTCGCCAGAAATAAAAAATCTACAACATGCGGATGGTATAACTTTAGCTTTAAAAGATATATCCTCACTAGAAACAGCAATTGAAATTGTTCTCACTTTTTGCAACCACGCTGGATCAAAAATTAATCTGAGTAAAACACAATGTATACTTTTAGGTAGTCTCAAAGATAGGCATTCAAATGTGTGCGGTATCAATGTAACCAATGATGCTGTTCGCTGCTTAGGAATTTTTATTGGACATGATAAAGATCAATGCTACAACTTGAATTGGATTAAAATTTATGAGGATATGGAAAAAATGTTTGAATCATGGAAAAAGAGAAAATTAACAATTTTTGGAAAGTCTTGTGTAGTAAACTCTTTAGCTATATCAAAGTTAATATATGTTGGCTCAATTTTACCCATTCCAGACAACAAGTTGATAAAAAAAATTAAAAAGTAGCGTATTCAATTTTATATGGAACAAACGAGATAGAATTAAGCGAGACACTGTTAACGGCAAACAAGAAGATGGTGGAATAGGATTAGTTGATATCGAACTGAAATTAAAGGCCCTAAAGGCATCTTGGGTAACAAGACTAAGTGATGAATCTTGCATATTAAATAAAGTCATAAAGGGATACCTTAGCGAAGTGAATATAGATATTAATTATTTATTATTTTATTAACATTGTCTGAAAAAAAAATCGAAAAGTTCTCACTTATATCTAAATTGCCTACTTTTTATAAAGAAATATTCTGTTATTTTAATGAAAGCAAAAAGGAAATACCAGTATCGAATTTATCTAATGTCAAATTGGCACGACAACCACTTTGGAATAACATTTTGTATCAATTTAAAAGTAAAACGATATGCTTCACAAATTGGATTGCAAGTAATATTTTGCATACGAAAGATCTCTTTGACGAAAATGGTAATTTTAAAACATTACAAGAAATTTCAAATCTATAATAAATAAATCTAATTTGTTGTGTGAATACAAGATTTTAAATAATGAAGTAACTAAACAGAGTAATATGTTTGATATGAAGTGCTGTGCTTTTACCAAGACAACCTCTGAAAATTCATTCAATTTTAACAGTGGTCTTCATTGTATTACAGATAAAAAATGTAAGTTTTTCTATGAGAATATGCTGTCTAAAAAGTTTAAATATCCATGTTATCAATCAATATTAGGTCGAAAATTTTGTGTTAGTAAAGAACACTGGCGCAATATTTATAGAAATAAAATCAAACTCATGTATGATAAACGTCTGAGTGAATTTAATTATAAATTGCTTAATAATATTCTATGTTGTAATTCTTTTTCACAAAAATGTAAATTAAGAACAAATGCAAAATGTGAATTTTGTGGAAATGAAAATGAAGATATCAAACATCTTATTTTTAATTGTAATAATGTAAAAGGTGTATGGCAAAAGTTGAATATTGTTATGAACTTCGATGTGCAATGGAAACATATTATTATAGGATTCTACTTGGAAACAAATTCAAGAATTCTTTTTTATAATACTTTTATATCATATTTGGCATATAAAATATATAAATTTAAAATGAAATGTAGAATAGAAAATATCATACAAGAAAAGTCCATGTTAGAAAAAAGCATTAGAGGTTCATTAGAAAAAGATATAAATTTCATGTTAAATTTGTCAAAAACATACATGTTTAAAAACCAAGTTAAACTTTTAACAAATTTGTTATGACTTATATTTTGTATTTTTTTTCTTTGTTGTTTTTATGCTGGTTAACCAAAATACTCGGGTTAACTGGCAATTGTAAATGGGTATTGATGAAAATTGTGAAATAAAAGATAAAAAAAGTTAAAAAAAAAAAAATATATATATATATATACACACAATATACATGGAACATTATAAATTGTGCATGTAAAAAAAACCAATGTCTTTTATATGTACTTTAGATCAGTGAGCAATAAACGAAATATAAAATTTAAGTGTATCTATTTAAAAAAAATAATAAGAGGTGCGCCTATTTGAGAAAAGATATTTGAATCTTGAAAGATTCTTGAAAATTCCGCGAATTCAACATACAGTGAATAATTCTTTAAAAGATTTATAAGGATAAATTGACGTTTTATCATTATCTGTAATTAGATTCTTTATATTTATTTCAATGTTTCATTCTGTACAAACACAAAGGCAGATATTTTTTGACTTCAAATAGGGACCAGTCCAATGTTTTCTATTTATTCATTCGGGTTCAATAATCGACACAATATATAGACTTGACCTTCCTGTCTGATATGGGTGATATACATACATATATAGACTTTTGTAAGATAGAGACGGGAAATATCAGTCTGAACAATATATACCTAAAGAAAAATGCTTGCAAGTACTTTTTAAAAGAGTATGTATT